TGAAAGTATAAAATAATTTAGATAATTAATCAATATATATATAAACAAATTTTAAATTAATTTAATTATGAATTTGTATATTTTATATGTAAAAATTGTTGCCTACAGAACTTATTAATTTTTAGTCCATGGAATCGCCTTAAAAATGATTAATTATTAAATATAATTAATAATATCTTATACAATCCGGAGCGTTTCTTTAATAGAAATTGTGAGTATATTTCACAGAAAATGACTTATATTTTCGGAAAATAATATGGCCTACGCCTGCTCGGCCCATCAATAAGTTATCTCTAGCTAGTATTTGCCTTAACTGGGTCAACTGGCTAATTATTTATTACAGTTAAACAGTTATTGTTATTAGTTGTGGACGCAGTAAAAAAAAACGTGTTAGCATTTCCAAAATAATTGCCACGCTGCGTCTGTTAGGAGCTGCTGTGGAAACTTTACTGCCAAACACGTGTAGAACGTCTTAAAATGCAGCGTAGTATATGTGCGCGCGCTCCCCCGCCCCCTCCCTGCCCCTTACCAACACTCAGTCGCACACAAGCCGCAGTCATTAATAGAAGCCGCACCACAAACACAGCCCCCCCCCTCTCCCTCATTCCACAAAAACAATAACAATCACAGCTGGCCGCAAATTCAACTCGCAAGGCGATTGCAAATGTGTGTGCGTGTGTGTGTGTGTGTGTGTGTGTGTGTGCGACGCTGTTCAATTAAACTATGAACAAAAGTTGTAAATTATAATAAATACAACAATAGGCACGACAACTAGCGTTAACTGCGTTCCCCCCACCCCTTCCCCACCCCTCGGCCGCCTTGGTAATTGTTACAATTATTTTGTTTACTTTGCCAAAGGGCTGCTAAATAGTTTGTAAGCGGTTGCAGGGGTAGCAGCGGTGCGAGTAGGGGGGGGGGGGGGTCTGTTTGCTTAGAGTCGACTTTTTTAGCTCTTTGCAAGAGCTTTCGATTTGTATTTTTGCGCAATTTATTTTGATTTCAAAACTCAGTTTGTGAGTTTCTGAGTTTCTAAGTGTGAGTGCGAGTCACACGCATGTGTGTGTGTGTGTGTGTGTGAGTGAGTGCGTGTGCAGCAACAAAACGACTCAGCTGTCGTCTAACTGTGCTTCTGGCTGTTGTTGCTGCTATTTTTGTTCTTGTTTCTCGCATTCGCAAGCTTCTGGGCTGCACTCTTCCTCTTGCCATTTTGAGTGTTTGTTTTGCTCTCTCGCTCTCGCTCTCTCAGCGACGACGGCGCTCATTCATTGCGGCACAAGCGCCACTGCGTGCCTGGCTGTGTGTGTGTGTGTGTGTGTGTGTGTATAATCAAAAGCACAAAACGCGCACACAAGCACACACACTCCGTGCACACACATACACACATGTGCAGAACGGAGGCCGGCGCACGTGGACGCTAAACGTGATAACACAACAACAACAACAACAAAAACCAACTGACAGCAAAACAAATAGAAAACCTGACGACGACGCGTCGTTTGTCGTTGTCGTTGTCGTCGTTTGTCGTCTGCCGTCGTCGCAGCTGTTTGTCGCTTCGCTTGCGCCGCTGCCAACGCTGCCAACGCTGGCAGCGACGGCGACAGCGCCGCAACTGTTGGCAACTGTTGCCCAGCGCCTGTTGCTCTGATTGGTGCAGGCCGCCGTCAGGCCAGCTGCGCCAATGGCAGCGCACGCTGTGCGAATCCTTTACGCTCGGCTGCCCACAATTGGCGGCCCCGTCCGTGCAGGAGCCTGCACAGCTTCGGCCGCATTTCAACTGCAACGAAGTTGTGCAACAACAACAATGCAACCGACAACAATTCCGACTTGTTGCCGTGCTGTGTTCGCTGGCATTTTAAATAGACGGATCACGGGTTGTATGCTTGATTTGGTTCGCTGATGCGATTTGTTTGCAACGGCGAGGGATGAGAATGAAGTGCTGCGGGGTTGGCATGTGAACAAGCTAAGCTGCTGAGCGGTACGCCAACGGCGGTGGGGCGGTGGGGCGTGCCAGCGCAACGGTTTCACATGTATTTAAAAATAGTTAATCTATTTACGGCAAGCGCTTTGTAAACATGTGTGCATATTTTTAAATATTACAAATAAAGGCGAGCTTTTAAATAAATACGATTGAAATTATATGTTTGATAAGCATTTTTTTAAAATCATTTTTAATGGCTAATTGCTAAATGGAAGTGTGAAGCAACTTCTTCTAATATGGCAATTATCAGTGATCAGCTTATTCCGATAATATCGATAAGAATCGATTTGCAGCCTTGGTTTTATAGCGATAGCTTAAAAATTATAAGAGCTAGATACAACAAACTGTGTGTTAATGTACTCGTACATCGAAAAAGAATTTAAATTTTTTGCCACAAAGCCTTGCGCCTTGTGTAGCTGGAAGCCAGAATGGCTGGGCGTTATTCAGGGCATTTGATAGTCGGATACCTTTTGATTTACCTACATACTTATTTATACAATGTTATTTAGTTAAACTTATTTAAACTGGCTACAAATATAAATAGTTCTTATTTTCCGATTTCAGTCTAATATGCTCAGTAATTATTTTATTTTTATTTTTAACTCCGGTAGCAGATACCCTTTCAATTCCGTTGTATAATTTCTTTCGCCAATGAAAATTCCATTGTTCCTTCTTTATTTCTACATGTCCGTTTCCACTGTTCCATATGCACAGCTCACTTTTTATTGTTCCATTGCCAATTTTCCATTCTTTCGTTTCTCTTTTCTCTTCTCTTCCTCTTCTCTTTTTCTCGCTCTTTTCTGATTTTACATTTAGCACTCTAAGCTATTGTCGTTCCAATTCCATTGCTCCATACTTATGCATTTACATCTGAACATAAATATTATTAAATTTGTATATTTTCCTTCCTTTTAGATTTATACTGTTTCGTTTCCATCGTTCCCTCTTGATTGATTGATTTGCCAATTGATTGATTCGCTGTTCCATTCTTTTCATTCCTTGTTGCTTCGCTGTTTTTATTTTTACCACTCTTAGCTCTTACCCTTTTAAATTCATTGTTCCATTTTTAATATATGTAAGTACATGGCCTGAATATATATTTCGATATTTCCCTTCCCCAATTGTACTTGACTTGCTCCTCGTTTCGTTTCGTTTCATTTGTTCCATTTCATCGCTTCCATTGGTGCGATTCCACTGTTCCGCTCCCACTGCTCCGTTTTGGAAAAACTTAAAATTAAATATTAAAAAAATCGAAAATACGACTTGTTGATTTTGTCGCTGTTCAACTTTTAATTGCTTAAGCCTAAAATAATGTTTTGCACACATTATTAGTGTTGTCGAGCCCTTACACACACTCTCTCAACACTTGAGAAGTGCGAAAAAAGCGCTCAATTTGAGTGCCCAACAAATCGCTAAAAGCGCAGAATAAAAAACTTAATGAACTCCCGCAAAAATGGCTATTGATAAATTGGCAAATTAAATGGAAATTTAATTACTTAAAAAGCGCATTTGAGAAATCCCAATGGGTTAATTACTTACTACAGATATTCAATTCTAATTATAAAGATGAAAATGAAGCGCATGATTCAACATGTAGCACGCCGTGGGGTTAAGGTTCGGAGCACTAAGCTCATAAAGGTTGTCCGGGCAACGAATGCCGAAATTTCCATTAAATTGCGCATACGTCACGTGTTGCAAGCCAATTAATATTGTGTGCGGCTGCAACGCGCCTGTCATTGATACTTTAATCACATTTTGCCACAAAATAAAATGCCAATTAGAACAGGAAACGGAAGATGGCCCGGGGTGCATTTGTTTTCCACTTTTTCTTTCGCTAACTGTAAGCAGAGCCAAGCGACGCACACTGAGCGAAAACAGCGCACAATTTTCTGGCTCTGAGTAGTTGAGTATCTGTGTGTGTGTGTGTGTGTGTGTGTGTGTGTGTATCTCTATCAGTAGCTATAGCTGTATCTGTATCTGTAGCTGTAGCTGTATCTGTGGCTAAGTATGCCAAATGCAATCCGTCCGTTCAACGTGCTCGCCACTTTGCATGTGTGTGTCTCTGTGTGTGTGTGTGCGCGTGTGTGCTTAACTGTCTCTCAGTTTCAGCTGTAGCGCGCGTGTGTGTGTGTGTGTGTCTGTCCCTGTGTGTTCACAACACGTGCTTAGAACGTTGCTAGACACTGGGCTTTGGGTCATACTGAAATCCGCGTGACTTTGTCGCCGCTGTCGCTGTCGCCGTCGCCGTCGCTGTCGACGTCGACGTCGCTGTCGCTGTCGTTGCTGTCGCTCGTTGAATTTTCATTAGCTACAACTGAGTCGCTGCGTCGCCGCCTTGCAGCGTATTTATTTTTATATTTATTGCTATTATTATTTTTATTTATGCATTTGCAAATATTTTTTTGCGCCATTCTGCGCACTAACTTGATGTTTCTCACTTTTTGAGCGATATCAACTAGTGCTAGTTTACAGTTAGGCCTTAATAATTATACTATATAAATACATATAGGCCACTTTTTTGGTTGAGTTTTCGTGTATATATATTTTTTTTTAACTTACATTGCAATTTGCGCTGGCAGCGCAGCTCGCCGCCCCCAACCCCGCGACTGTAACCCTTGCAGGTGTGCAGGTGTGTGTGTGTGTGTGTTTGTGTTTGTGTGGAGCTGCGTCGACGCTGGCAGCGACAGCGACAGCGGCAGCAATGACTGCGCTGCCCGCTAGGGCTGAGGCTGAGGCTCGGCTATGGCCGGCATTCGGTCGCATCGCGTTCTCCAGTTCAAATCGTGAACGTTGCCTGTCGCTCAGCTTTTCCAGCTAGTCGTCAACTGCGCGTGCGATTCTAACGTGAAAAACTGTGCTAAAAATCCAAATAGAAAACCAAATAAATTATAGAAAAAAAAAAAGAAAGAAATATCTAAACAATCCGGAATAGTGCAACGCATTCAAATAACTTTATATCTGTGCATAGACTATATAATACATATATATATATATATATATATATATATATATATAATAATTG